TCCTCTCGAAGCCTACGAAAACATTTAAGCCATTGAGCACAAGAATCCTTTCGTTGACCTTTAATTTTTCCTCCTTTCTATTGGAATGTAAAAGATGGAAAGGATTCAACTTTCTTGCTATATATTTCAACATTCATTAACAATCATGTTGAACAGCTAATACTCATGGTGAAGGATTCGATTCTTGAGAACGTAACTTTTGTTTTCTCGACGTAGAAGATACGAAAAAAGGACGAAATGAAAGATGGATCTTGTTTTTTGATTTATGAATTTTCACAGATTTTATCTATATACTAATTTAAGTTACTCTAATTGTTTCATTTTAAAGAGAGACAGTAGACCTAACCGATGATTTATTTGTTTAAAAATTAAAATGTAACAGGATGACTCTCTATTACTTAAATCACTGGCGTTGCACACATGCCTTCAATATCGTTCCATGTCAAGCTAGATTTTTTTAGATATTTGTCTATTTCTTGGTCAAGAAAATTTTTCAAAAATTTTGGGTGATAGGGCTCAGATCTTCTGGCCATATTTTGAATACGTCACTAATACATCCACTACTATTACTGTCAAAATTTTGTTCGTTTCTGAAAGAGCTTTGTATGTTGTTCACATGGAACTTATTCCAGCATTTCGAAAATTCTTCCAGCGAATACTTGTCAAAATAGACCTTTTTGTATTTTTTTGTTTTTATCAAAAGTCTTTCTTTAGTCAAGATGGAACATGAATATGAGTTTCGAAGGTATACAGATTTTCTTTTCCATTTGCAATATTGTGATAGTTACAGTTTGTAACTCTCAATGATTAAGAGGAGATTTTGCATCGAATACAAATTTTCTTCAATGACTTTTGTTTGAATATGCAGATTGTGGGATATATCGCATGTTCAACTTTCGATTTTTTTCTTGAAAGATATACACTTTAACAAATGGTGAGATAAATCAGAAGTACCTGATAGAAATGCCAGCGAAACCAAAACCTTGCCAATTATTTCTTTAAACTAACGGTAAGTAAAAGCCTACTGAATGATTGAATGTATATTTTATTTCAGGGCGTGGTTACAATCATTCATCCGTCAGTCAACTTATCTCAACAGATTGCTTGCACAGGACCTGGCTACTATGTTATATATGGTCTGATCGCGTCTTGTGTGTTCTTTTCTCTTGCTCCAATGCTTGCCATATTCTGTTCAAATCGAAAGCCTATTTGTGCGTCTGGTGAAGAGAGACAAGAAAGGCAATAGAATCGCTAAACAGTAGAAGAAGCGGCATCAGGTATACAATGATCAACAATAACTTGGCCATAACCAAGCTTTGAACTTTTTCTAAAACATTCTCTGGCGTGTTAACGTTGACCTCGAGTATTGCTAATGATTTTTTGTAATCCTTTCGAGACAGAAATAACATGATGCATGATTAAAGAAAAAGGACCTCCAAAATTCTTGACCAGCAATATGCAGAATTCAAAAATACACTCTTGCTAAAAAAATGAATCAACTAGGGTGTCGATGTGGATGTGAATCTTTTTTTCATCTACATCCACACCAGTTGTTTTCATTGTTATAGTTTATTAGATCCAGTTAAAGAAAGAATATTTTTTCAATGAAATATCATTAGGATTTCTATACTTGTATGAGAGCATATTACATAGTGCAACAAATTCATAAGTAATGCAATATGAAAAGATATTTTAAACTTTTATTTTTTTATAGTTGATCACATCACCAAGAGTTATCTATGACAAAGCTTTCGTCGCAAACGCATTATTTGGTTCTTGAATTCTTTTTTATAATCTGTTAATGGTAAAATGAAGACGGGAAAAACAAGAGCCGACGGAATAAATGAAATAAAATAACCAATTAAAAATAGCCATGGATTACGAGCCCGATTTCATACAACCAGAGAGAAATACAAAAATGAGATGCGGTACGGCTAGAATGACAAGAATACATGAAGATATTAGACAATGTTTATTTTTGTAAAATTGTTTGCGAAGATGCTCACTATAAGACATCTTTTGATGAGCTATGATTCGTTTTTGAGCTGTTAAAATAATGAGAATAATAAACGACAATAGGTTGATTACAAATGGAACCAATGAATGAAAAAGAATCATTGTTAAATTAAAGATTTGCATCGGTGCAGAATATTTTGTTATACACCCAATACATTTTTCATCTTCATCATCGATCAACTCTTGATAAATTGGTTCTTGTATTGAACTAAGAGCAATAAATAAAACTATAAATATAGTAATCCATTTAGCAGCTTTCTTGCTTTTAACTTTATTAAATAGAAGTTCTTTTGCAACTGCAACACATGCATTCAATCAATCACCAGTTATTAGACAAATCCGAAGAGAAGAAAATCAATTGAATGACAGCTAAACTTAAGCAATGGTTGATTAGAAATAAATGCCATTTGTGATACAACAAGAAACCAATATTTAAATATCAATATAATCATAGTTACAAATGATGTCAATGATGACATTAATATATAGACAATACAACAAGTTGTACGTTTTTTCTTTTCACTAAATGTAATGATGAAAAGAAAACTACTTATCATACCTATGATTACAATTATCATAGTAATAATAGCAGATATTTGTGTTACATATGATTGATGTATTAATTGAACGTTTGGGAGAATGTGTTAACCAAGAATTAAATCAAGCGACAGACTAAAACCTTTACTTGATAACTGACACCGACAACCATAATAACATTCTTGGCAAGAGCAAGCTGATGCTTTGGGACATGTAGAATCATCTTGAAAACATCGGTCACTATTTTCACAATAGTTCTTACCTCGACAATAATATTTTATATTGTGATTGAATTCAAAACAATTGTCATGTTGATTTAAATTACAAATACATATTTGAGTATCATCAAAAAAACATACGAGATCAGAATGCTGTTGACATGGTATATGATAATACTTTATTCGACGAATAAGACGTAACTCGACAATAGTTTCATTAAAAAGTTCATTTATAGACAAACATCGATGAGAAGGATTTACATCCGTCGAAATTATACCTGATGATATACGTTACGTTCTTCTTGCAATACAATAAGATAATAACTACTATAAAATTCAATCAAAACAATATGAAAGGGTGAAGTTTGATATACTATGATCGAATCATCATAAATGGTAATTTTCTTGAAAGTAGTAGCTCGTTTGTATTTGCTAACAAATACTTCAATAAAATGAATCAATGTAAACGATGAAGTAGACACTCGGTTAAATCTTATATTAATTTTGATCTGCTTAAACTGACATTTCCAACTGAAGAAACCATCGGGACAAATACAAATTATTTTCTCTTGAGAAATACGTTCATCAGATAAAAGGTATATACCATTATTCATACAATAATCTGCTGGACACAAATTTCTGTTCAAGTAGCATCGAGGACCAAATTTTTCATAAGGGCATAAACAAATCGATGTACGAAGGCAAATTGAATCATTCACACAATCACAAATATGTTGATTATTACATCGAGGGCCCGACCAACCATTATTCCAACGACAGAAATATGTTTCAGTATTTTGGTATTTCAAAAAATTGACCATGAATACCACAATCTCTCATGGGTACATATTAAATTTCATCATAAGAATTAATTAATTGTTCATTATCATCAATCAATGTAAGGATAATTGAAAAAGTTCTTCGCCATTCGGACGACGCACGAATTTGTAATGTAATACTAACACGTTGATTTTCATATTGACAAACATCTCTGTAATAACTTGGTGGACAAAGACATGCATATTCATTATATTTCTCCCCAAGACGAGTACGCACGCTTAATCCTCAATTACATCGCCAAATCCATCTTAATTCTTGCACATGACGTTCTGATTGAAGATCGATGAAATTTGACATTTGGATTTGAAAAATTTCTTGGATATATACGAGACTTTCTCAATTGAAATGGTACGAATCTAGATTCTTGTTTATTGTAAAATTCACACAAAAATGTATAATTTTCGTTTTGAAAAGACTGAAGAGTACATGTACGAGTAGTTGAAGTGCAAAACTATTCATTGTTATCATTAATACATTTGGGCTTTGTTATACATAAATTAGCCGTTTATGTAATATGTTTACCGTTTATAGCTAATAGTGGAGGACTTATAAAGTAATAATTCAATTTATGACATTCTTGATGGTCATCTAATCGATTATAACAGTTCACATTAGTATGATTGGCTTTTTCAATGGATCCACAATTAGCTAATTTATGTGGAGGAGGTAAAATTAAACATATTTGTTTAAGTGATGGACATGTCGACAAAGGACAATTCATTTCATCTGCTCCATTATCACAATTTCAAATGCCATCACATCTTGTATATATATTATTACATGACTATAAATGACATTCAGTTTCATCTGTGTAATTTTGTCCGTTAATAAATATCGAAGCAGTCAATTCAACAATCCCATCGCATATTGTTTGAAAATAAACATGGTTTTGTACACTCATAAGAAACACACATATGACGGGAATCGAAAGTTTCAAAGATCAAAGAAATAATCTGGAGTATTTCTATAAAGGAATGTCACATGTCCGAACAAAGTGGGCACTTTTGGAAAATGAAACAACTTAGGACAATGATTTTCTATATTTACTTTTGTTTGACAATCTTCAAGACTAGTCAGATATGCCATGGGATTTCGACATATTCTAGATACGTTTAATGTTGATTGAATCATTGCTTTTTTCAAAATTAAATCTCACTTATTTACACAGTTTGTTGTATGAGTATTGTGTGAACCGTCACCATACATCACATATACATCTTCAAATTTTATTTGTGGTTGCCATATTAAATCTTCACATCGAACTGACGAATCATAAAGGCAAATGTGTGTATAACGCGCCATCATAATTTCATCTGTACTATCCAAACATTCCAAGTTACCTACAGTATCCCATAAGAATTCTTTTGGAATACATTGACCATTATGGCATCAATATTCATTGTCTTTACATTCATTTATTTCAAGTTGATCACAATCCTTTTCATCGATATCTTCCTCAATACAATCGACTTTACCATCACATATTTCACACCAATCGAGACAAGCCGGAAATGGTCCACCACGATTACACTTTAAAATACACATAACATTAAAGATTACTAAAAATTGTATATGGTTCGACCAATTGATCATCGTATATTTTCTTCAATTTAAAAATACTTTCAACTATCTCTGCAAAAGAAATGAATATTGACAAAAATGACCAAACCATCCTTTGAAATAATGATTCATTCTCATTCACATAGATCTGATATTGCTCTGCAAGATCGATTGGCGCTGACCAAGAATACAACTGATGACTAGTCACGTTTACGTAATAATGCAAACAATCATACATTGATTGCTCAAAAACTTCTTTTGAATGATCATTTTTCATGTAATATACATTAAACTGTTGAAATAATGCCGATTGAACTATCAGTAGCGATAATAATATGAACAACATTTATCAGCAGTCAAAATTTACTACCTAGTTTATAAATTCTGAACACAGACTATATCACAGCATAGAAATAAATATTCATCAATTACTAAACTTAGATGAGTACGATCAAGTATACAAAGTCATATCTTATTACTGAATATTAATATTTTTTTCATCTCTTTTATTATGACAGCAGATCCACACAATCCTGCATGACTTCTATTGTTTTTATTATATTAATCAGAATTCTTTTGATTATTTATTCTCCTTTCGTATGTAATAAACTATGACTTGCTTTATTTTATCGATTCTCAAATGCAGTAAAATTAGCTTCTAGCTATGAGTTTCTTATTATGTTTCAACAAACATTTCCATTCAGGAAACAACGAGACACATCTAGTTTTCAATATTTGATAAAGATAGTTTCAAGTTATTGAAAACCTTTTTGTTTTGCTATAAAAAGTTCGCTGTAGAGTAAATCTTAATTTTATTCACGAAAATTCGATTTATCTCTTTTTTTTTGTCACCAACAATCATGTTGAGAACCGTTGTTCCGTCGAATCGTGCTATGGATTTGTGACCTATTTTACTGTTGTGTTGACTCATTCTTTATCTACTGTTTTTTTTCTCTAAACCTTTTAGAATAACATAGGTATATTAAAATGAGATATCATCAGTGACATGAAACGTTACATCCATGATATATTGCAATTGTGCCGTCGAAAGTAATGATCAACAAAAAATATTCTCATTCAAACAAGTAGGAGAATGAATATGATGAAGATGGATGTGACTGGGTAAGTTTAGATCTACTCTTCTCTCACCGAACCACACCCTGTTATCTTGTTATGCGATCACAAATAGACTAACGACGGAACCTTTTCAGATGCTCCTCTCGGATTTCAATGAATTTTTGTCTATAGATACTACATAGTGTCCTAGTAAAAATCCAAAAAGGATTTGGGTTCCCATTGCTTCCTTCAAAAGTTATCATATCGAGAAACTTATAAATTAAAAATATCATGTTGTTTTGAAGTACTTGTGAAAAATGTCAAGAAGCACAATCTTCGTTCTTTTTTGGTTAGATCATAAAAATTCAATAAAATGTTTCTTTTTTTTACATATTGATGGTTATTTTGAGATTTGTTTGTTTTGGATAATCCCATTAGTGTAGGAAAGGTCTCAAAAAATACAGAAAAGAATTCTCTATAAAATCGGATATTACCATTGTTTATGATGATAAGTTTTAGTAGTTGATTCTGCTTTCAAAAAAAGAGAGGATATATGTTTGATGGTCGTTCTTTTACTTGTAATTTTCTCATAACCTCAATGAGTTATAACACTGCGCAAAAATGAATCAAGTTTCTATAAACTCTTGACATTCTGCATCTTTTGAAACCTTTCTATGGCCAATGGGGTTATCCAAGACAGAAAAATTCTCAAAACAACCATCAATATGTAAAAAAAAAAACAACATTTTACTGAATTTTGATAATCTAACCACAAAAAAAAAACGAAGATTGTGCTCCTTGGTATGTTTCACAAGTACTTCAGAACAACATGATATTTTTGATTTATAAATTTTTCGATATGATAACTTTTGAAGGAAGTGATAGGAACCGAAATCCTTTCTTGGGTTCTTACTAGAACACTATGTAGTATCTATAGACAAAAATTCATTAAAATTCGAGGGACGTATCTGATAAGATTCCCTTGTAAGTCAAATGTCATAATAGATTGTTCAGGTTTTTTCTCATGTGAAAAAAAATCTTGAAATATATCACAATATGTTTGTTATGCAGTATGAGTACGAGAGCCGACGGTGCGGTAAACACTCTCGTCACTGTGTCACTTCTTATTTTTCTAGAATTAATGTTGGTTTACTAGTAATTAAAAAATAAACATTCTTCTTTATTTCTTCAATTAGTTCAATAGCAACGAAATGGCATTATATTTGAAATATTTACAAATAGTATAGAGCCCTGCAGGATGCAGGTAACCTGCCCTGCCCTGCCCTGCCCTGACAGGGCAGGACAGGGCAGGCTGCGAAAATAGCAGGGCAGGGCAGGGCCA